ATTCTAGCAGGCAGCACTCACGGGACTCAGTGCATTCCAAAAGAAAAGCATGAGAGGACCTGAAGGTGTGGCTGTACCCAAGGGAGAAGATGGGATGGATGTTTAGGTATAAGGGATTCCCACTGGATTCTGGTTTTGTTTATAGTAGGTTGTCAGCAAATTTTCTTGGGTTTTCCAGGTATATTAATATAATCTGCCGGGTGTTGGTAATCCCAACACTCAGGAGGCAGAGGCAGGCAGATCTCTGTGAGTTTGAGGCCTATCTGGTCTACAGAGCTAGCTCCAGGACAGGCTCCAAAACAATACAGAGAAACCCTGTCTCAAAACAAAAAAAAAAAAAAAAAAAAAAAAAAAAAAAAAAAGAAAAAGAAAAAAAAAAGGAATCTATTGATTTATGTTATAATTGCAGATTTAAAAAGTATTGGCTCAGAAGGACTAAGCAGTCTAAGGGACCTCAGACAGTGGAGCCAGGATGTATCCCTTGTGCACAAAAGGACATTGCTAACACATCCCCCATGGAGGGATAACTGCCTTAATCTAGAGACAGGAGAGAAGCCCTAGTCCCTACTTCACATGACCTGTCAGATCTACATGACCCCAACTGGATGGCACTCCCCTACATATGGAATTGGGGTGGGGGGATGGGAGGGGAGGGTGGTTAGGGTACATGTGAGAGGGCAGAGAGGGTAAAAGGGAGGGAAGGAGGGAGGGAAGGAGGGAGAGGGAACTGGGATTGACATGTAAAATAATAAATTAAATAAAAACAAAAAATGTTTTGACTCCAAAATTTAAGTTCAAGGACAAGTTACTGGGGAAAAGGATTTCTACTTTTGTTTCCACAGAAAATGAAAAGATGTGGATTCCTTCTGGACTAATGTGGTTTGATCAAGCCAGACAGCCTGAAACAGAGTACCAGGTGATCCTACATTCAAAACAGCTGGACAAAGCAGCCTTACAGACTACAGCCAGGATTTCTGCATCTTCTTAGAATCCCCCATGACAGCACCGCTTACCAGCAGGAAGTAGTTCGGAAAGAACAACGCCTAAATTCCCAAATATTGTCTATAAATGTTTGTTTTCATTTAAATGGACTTGGTTATATAAAATAAAAAAAATTATTGTCTCAGTGTTTAAGAGCATGAGTTGGGACCCTGACTGGGTTTCACGAGCTTCTGTAACTATCTTTTCAGAGGCTCTGAACCTCTTCTGACCTCCCCGGCATACATACAGGACACATGCAGGTAAAAATGCATAAAATAAGATAAAACTTTAAATTATAGACAATTAAGCATAGAGCTAGGAATGGTAATCCCGGTGTTTAGGAGGCTGAGGCAGGTCAAGCGAGAGCTCAGTGTTAGCCTACAACATGGTAAAATCCACCTAAAATAACAATCTGGCATAGACTTTAAATTGTATCAAATGCCCTTTGTAGTATCTGGAGGTTGTTTAATTCCATTTGTCTTCCTTGAAAAATTATTTGGGTTTACTTTAAAATTGGAAATGTGACTTTCTTGTTAGAGAGGTACCCAGACTTTTGAATGCTTTCTGAGGTGTAGGGGTGTACTTGGTACTCAGAACTAACCATTACTATGGAGACATATTCACCTGCCTTAGTGCGTCAATGGTTTTATACTCTAATTCCCACCTGGATGCTCTAGATTTGGAGCAGAAAAGATAACAGAGCAAAGTTACTAGAGCATCTATAAGGTAAGATATGAAGAAAGAGGAGGCAGGCAAGGGCAAGAAGAGAGGGATGTGGAGAGAGAGAGAAAGAGAGGGGGGAGGTCAGATGGATTCTGCTGGGAAAGGTTGTAGGCAGGAGAGGGGGACAGAAGCAGTGTGCTCTACAGGAAGGGAGGAGGTAGGTCAAAGCTTCCCTCCTCCCCATGTCTTCTAGACCCCTAGTCCCCTTCCCAGCCAGGTTCGGTGCTCCCAGGTTTTGCCCACATCCCACTCAACACTTCCTCCAAAACACTCCCTTGCTTTCAAACTTTTTAATATGCTAGTCTGTGCCAAATGAACTTTACTTCAGTAATAATTGCTGATTTTTTTTTTCCAATGAAGTCATTTAGAGCTACCAACGTGAATGTGCCAGACAGAACTCCCATGCTGACTGATGTAGTTTTTGTTTCAGCCAAAACTGCAGAGTCAAGCCACAAGGAAGCTCATCTTGGGTAAAGTGACCATTCTGGAAGGTTTTTTTGAAGTGCTGACAATAATCTGTTTAGAGCTTGCCTCTTTATTCTTAGATCTCCAAAACAGTCTCAAAGTGAAACCCCAGGGTGGTCCGTGGATCTTACACTCATTCAAGATCTGATGTTATAGAAAAAGGCCCAGGGGTGGGTACGCAGATGTGTCTACATCTGTGATTTATTCTAGATCCTTCTTTCTTAATGCTTCTACTTGAGGTGCCCAATGATAGCCTTTCTTTAATAAATTGGTTTCCTATGTGGTTAATTTTCTGTTCTAAAAAAGTAAAGAATAAAGAAAAGAATTTGTGAGGGTGAAAAGTATATTGCCAAACTAAATAAATAAATAAATAGGCAGTGAAATTGCTCCTTTGCTTAAAGCAAGGCCTGATGAGGACTGAAGGGGCTTAACCCCGCTAGCTGACCATCCTTAGGAATGCATGCCAATCTCTTGTCTGCTGATAAGTGAGCTCTCTGTATTTAGGGTGGGTCCAGCATTCAGGTTTCTTGGAGTGTTCTATGATTGCCTTACTCAGACCTGCAGCACAGGCATCGGTGGGCACTTGTTAGCCATGCAGAATTTCAGGCCTTAGACCATCTGAACGGAACCCTGCATTGTACAAAATTCCCAAGATACTCTGGGCATGGTAGAGTTGCAGTGTTCTTAGAGTTTGACACCTGGACACTTATGTGTGTGGTGAAGGAGAAAAAGAAATAAAAGAGGAAGGCCATGACTGCTCCCATGGGAGAAGGGGGTTTATTGTAGATAAAAGGGAGAGCACAGCCAGAGGCAGGGGCATTTGGGAGGGTCCAGAGGGGCATGACCAGACTGAGCTGTGCCATGTGAGGAACTGGCCCACAGGAAGAGGGGAAAGGAGCTGCTGGCCAAGACGAGTGGTCTTGGCTAAGAGACTGACCAAGTGAGTAAAGGCTAGACCAAAAGAGCCAGGTAACCAAAATGGCTGGATTATATAAGGAAGGGAGAGCTGGGGGAAGGGCAGCCCTCTCCAGGCTGGAGAGTTCAGGGTAGGGCATGTGGCATGCCAGTCAGGAGGGATGCAGGGAGGACCTGGCAGCCACTATAGGCTTTGATATGTTAGTGTGCACTTCAGTTAACCATTTGCTTCAGTGACTCAAAGGCTCACAACGTATGTCTCACACATGAGGTGAGACAGTGGCTGCTGACCTCTAACTGCTCCTAGCTGCAGTTTGGTGGCGCTAATCTGACACACAGTGTGACACAGCTAGCTGGTGGCCACACTGACAGGTGGCCTGCACCTAAGTCTAGCTTTCTGAGTGACATGGAAATGAGCTCATTCTCTTATGTCAGTTACTGAATAGGCTGCAATTTGGATCTAAACCGGCTACCTTAAAAGCAGGATTAAAGATATAAAGTGTCAATGTTCAGATGGATTTCTCTTGGAAGGTTTAAAAAAAAAAACTCTTAAAATGCAGAGTAGAGAGCCAAGCGAATGTTCTAGAATTCCCTAGAGTCCTCTCCATCTTAAAGAGGTTGTATTTTTTTTTTAAATTTTGCTTAGGCAGATTTTTAAATGTTTACATGAGTAAAAAAGTGAAGCCAGAAACGGAAAACTCGACCTTCCTCAAACTATGTATTTGAAGTGCGTAGTATCTAGAGTTTTAAAAGCATTTAAGCTTACAGGTAATGCTCTCTGACAACAGCAAATGTTTAAAGTAGACTTCTCATCAAATACTCGGGATTCCGAAGTACGGCTTACTGGACTTGTAGTGACAATTGGAAAGTTTCTAATTATAAAGTGAAATACGACAGTAGCTGTTGTAGTCGGTGACAAGGGATGGGGAGATGGGGAGGAGAGTGAGAATTCCGTCTCAATGCACCTGCTCGGGAACCCCTGGAGTCAAATCAGCAAAAGCAACACACCTGGAAACTGGATTCCCCCCCCCCATCTTTGCCTCAGAGTGGTGTCTCTTAAATCTCAGGAAGCGAACGAAGATGTGATAGTATGGATAGCTTAGAAAACGCAAAGAGGCCTAGGGTGTTGGGGCTCATGTCTGCAATCCTGGCACCTAGGTGTTGGAAGAGCTGGAGTCCAAGGTCACCCTTGGCTACACAGTCAGTTGAAGGCCATCCTGGGTTACATGGAACTGTTTTAGGAAGGCAGGAAGAAAGGAGGGAGGGAGGGTGATTAAGAACAGAAAAAGTTTAATGATGAAACTTTCCATGGACGCACACATTTGTGCCAGAAGTTCTGGCTTTTCCACACTCCTGAGCTTGTGTGGGAAGCAGCCCACAGGCTCCACGTGAAGACCCTCTGTTTTGTCAGTGCATTATTCGCGTGCTAATAAAAGTTACACCACACTAATTTCTCCCATTTGGAACAGCTTGAGAGCCAGGAAAGACTCTCAGCATCTAGGTGGGCAGTTGGTCGCTATCTCACGGGGATGAGCTCAGGCCAGATTAAAAGTCTAACCACTAGATTGTGACAGGGAAAAGTCGCTTCTTTGTTTTCAGAAACTGCTACAGGGAGCTGCTGCTGTGGGTCAGTTCACACCCAGAAAATTTCTATCAAAAGTTGTGAAAGGCTGCCTATGCCCTTCGTTTACCTGCAGACTCAAAAGATGTCAGAAGTGAATGAAGACTTGCCCTGCCCTATCCCAGAAGATGAAGGGATTTCAAAAGACTCAAGCAGCTTGCCAGGATGACCTCCCTAACCGCATCTACACCTGGGCTTCACTCCAGGACCTTGTCCCTGGCCACGGGATCCTAGTTCCCTTTGCCTCCTGCTGCCCAGACCGATGGAGGCGCCACGGAGACGAGCCCCTGCCTACCGGCACCATGGAGTAGGTCATCATCATCATCATGTCCTGACTCTCGGCGCGGAGGTGTGGCGCAGGCTCTCCGCTGTGGCTGCGCTTGTTGCGTGCTGCGTTCGCAGGGTCCTGGGGTGATTCGGGGACCTGGCCCGGTGCACGGCTCAATTCCGCCAGAAAGGCGCGTAGGGCGCTGTCTTCGCGCTGCTCCTGGCCGCTTTGTGCCTCCAAAGCCCGCAGGGCTGCGCTCAGCTCGCGCCACTGGCACAGCAAGAACACAGTGCCCGCAGCGTTCAGTACCAAAAGCAGCGCTACTGCCCCTAGGGCGCCGCGCAGTCCCCAGCCTGTAGCCCCTTGGCCCTGCTCTGCGGCTCGGGTCATGTCTGCGCGCTCGGGCTGGACAGTGCAGGGCAACACTGGGCCTCCTCCCTCAGTGGCAGATTTTATAGCCTCGCACAAGTCGTGGGCTGTTGGCAGAGCCCTAAGTCAAGCTGCCTTTAAGACCCGTCTGACAAAGCGAGTTGGGGACAGTAGTAGTGGCGCCCCAGTAGCCCAGAGGGACAGGCGGGCAGCAAGGGGGTGAGTAGCCAGTGGAGACAAGTGCGGAGGAGGGGCGACCAAGCAAATAGCAAACAGGCCTCCCCTCTTTTTCTTGCTATCCTGGCCGTGGGCATTGCCAGGAACCAGACAGGCTTAGCCAGGGTCAGACTGAGGAGGAGGGCAGGAATTCTTAAAGCCTGAGAAGTTTCTAGATTCCACCCCCTTCTCTCTCCAGCCCTCTTTGGAGAAAACCATAAGCATGCCTAAATGCACGTGTCACTGTTCTTGGGAGGTCTGCTTCTTGGGCTCTGGCCCAGGCTGCCCATTACCCATCCTTCCTCAAGGCCACCATGTGGCCACGAAAGACCCTAAGAGATTTTTTCCAGAACAGGCACAGTAAGAGATGGAAGATGACTGGCATTAAAAAGTTAAGAAGCAGAAATGCCCAGGTCCTTTTAGGAGGCAGGGATCATACAGCTTTTAGGACTAAGCTAAGAACTCTCCCATGACACCCAAACCTGGGAGGCAGCAGTGATGAGGCAAAAATGGTTTTGGAGACCTGGTTCTAAAGCCAGCAGCCAATGCCAGACATCTGGGATCGATGTGGTTTCTCACCCTCCACCCTTCCACCTCCCCCTTCCCCCCAGTGCTGGAGATCAAAGCCAGGGTTTTGCAATTGCTAGGCAGGAGCCCTGCTTCTGAGCCACATAGGATTATACTATACAGGTCAGGGTGGTTTTGAACCCCTGAGGGACAGTAGGACAGTAGGACCATAGGATGTGGAGCAGGAGGACAGGGGAACAATGGAGCTTTTTAGTGACATCTACAGCCTTTGCAACCCAGTTCTTGCTGGTGGCCTCCCTGCCACAGAAGAGAATATGCAGGTGGGATCAGACTTACTTTCAGGGTGAGCTGTGGCATGGCCTTTGGAAAAGGACAAGACAACTGAAGCTCCATCTTCACCACAACCCCAAGTCCAGCTTTAGATCCCTGGGCTTCAACAAGAACTCCGACCAGCTTGAGTATTAGAAGAGCAGCTACACAAGATGAACTGAGAAAGCAGGAAGGGGCTGGATGTGATTCCTGGGAGGGGATGACAAGAAGGTCATTGACTTGGTCCAATTCCTCCCAACTCGAACATACTATAACCTGTTGGAAGACTTGTTGTGTATCCTTTCTTTTCTAATCCATGCTAGGATTGGGCTACAGAGAGAAAGTGCCTTGGGGCTTAACACTCATAGACTCTACTTAATTTAGTAACCATTTACTGAGCCCTTTCTATGTGTCAGTCTCTGGGATGGGCACTGAAGATACAGGGGCAAGCAAGGCACACAGTTCGAGCAGTGGAAAACACCATGGTGACTTCTGGGAATTTCTTTAACCTGACATTTATTACAGCTATTGGAGACCACCTGTCACCAATACCACCAGCAACACAATATAAGTATGTCAGGAGACATACTTGTTGGTTCTTGTCATTCCCACCAGGTAAGAATGAATGGATATTTAATAATTATCTGTGTGATGAGCAACTGAATTAATGAGTGAGTGAAAGGTCTGTGAATGGTATTTTTAAGGAGAACAGGTATATATATGGTAATAGTGGCAGTTAGCAGCTGTTCATATGCCATGGTGCTGGCTGCTGACCTCCCTTGCAAGCCCGGGTTCCAGTGTTTGGAAGTGTGGTGGTAGCCTGTGGTGTATTTTTTCTTTTAAGTCAGAACTGCAGCTCTAGATAGAATGATGATGAGAAGCCACTAGAATCCTCAAGCTAAGAAGCTGCCCCTCCTGGCACATGGGACACAAAAGGCTGTGGCATGGTCACCAGCAGGACTAGTGGGCGGGGCACCGGGGCTAATTTATTACATTGGAGCCAAGAAAGAGACAAAAGAAGGATTAAAGAAAGGCTGGCCCCTTCCTATGAGAAGCCTTCTGTGGTGGTTTGAATGTAATTGGTCCCCACAATCTTATAGGGAGTGCCACTATTAGGAAGTGTGCCTTTTTTGGAGTGGGCGTGGCCCCATTAAAGGAAGCGTGTCACCATGGGGGTGGGCTTTAAGGTGTCCTATGCTTGGGATACTGCCCAGTGTCTCAGACCATTTCCTGTTGCCTGAAAGATACAGGATGCTCAGCTATTTCTTTGGCACCATGTCTGCCTGCAGGCTGCCATGTTCCCCACCATGACGGTAATAATAGTGGGAAGTGTGCCACCTCAATGACATGTTTTCCTTATAAGAGGCCATGCTGTCTCTTCACAGCAATAGAAACCTAAGCAAGACACTTTCTCAGCTCTCATTTTAAGACTTTCCATGCAGGGCCTTGACAAAAAGAAGAGTAGACATGTTAGTATCCCCTGTCAGGGGACTGTGCCCAATCGTCTCTCACCTCATGGTGTCTCTAACTAGCTGCCATTCCGTAACTCCCTGCTCTCTTTCCCAATTTCCCTCTGTCTCCTGTCTGCCTCACCACCAGAATTCCATACAGACATTTACTCCTTAACCGACCTATGCTGTGCAGCCCTTTCCTTATGGAGCCTCGTCTTCTGTGCTAGCCCCAAGTGTCCCCTCTCCCTGGCCTCTGCAAGCTTCGGTGATTTGACAGAAATGACCCTGGAACTACCTTTGGACCCTGACTGTAGCAATCTGAACCAAACCTCTTTAAAGAGTTCATAACTGTTTTCATGAGAAAGCGCTAGCAAAGCCCTTGGCTACTGGCAGTTTCTGCTTACTGTGGGCAGTGTGGACTTGTGGACACTGGGCTCTATGTTGCAGAACAGTGTTGTAGTCTTTTAGTTGAATTACAGCACGCTAAGGGTAGGGAGCCCCCATCACTGCCTCTCAGCGCAGATTTGGGCTAAGTAGGAATATGTCGATGCTTTCTTACCATTTTTATTGTATTTATCCCGTGTGTGTGTGTGTGTGTGTGTGTGTGTGTGTTAGTATGAATATAGAAGTTAGACTTGGTCCCAGGAATGGAACTCAGGTCATCAGGCCTGTGGTTTGCCCTGAGCTGCCCTGATGGCCTAAAACTGAACCTGTAAGTGCTGCAAACACTTGAAAGTTTCTGCCTGAGTTATTCCAACTTTGCTGTCAGTCCTGTGGGGCCCTTCATCTGTTGATTCCTAAGCCTCCTGAGGTTTCTTGAGAACAGATTCATTTATACAATGTGACTTGCCTGGTAGCTCTTCTTGATGGGCTGGAACTTTCTACTTATTAATCTTTTTTTTTTTAAAAGTTAGCTATCAGCCTGGCTTTCTTTGTTAACATAGGAGATTCAAGAGATGGTGGAGGTACAAGGAGATGCATGAATTCCCTCTACTGGAGACCAAAGAAGCCAAGAATACGATGTGCCTACTTCACAATGAGGAACAATTTTTCCATTAAGAAAGAAGATTTTTTTCAGTAGTTAAATAGTAGTCTCTAAAATGAGTTCTACCCAGCCAACATCAGGGCTCTGGAGAGTGAAACCAAATAGGAGTATTATCTAGCTCACCCTATGTCAGGTTTCCTTGATTATGAAGTCAATCATTTTATTTAGTGTATGGCCTGACACTTGGGTGTCTTGATCTTTGATAAGGACCGGCACTGTGCTATGACTCTTAGGCTTTGCTATCTCTCCACCTCCATATGTCTGCCACATCAGTGATTGGGGGAGTCTTTTTGAAAGTTGTCATTATGCATAGCCTTCACTCAACCTCAGTTGAACACTCATTACTTCTTTAATGAATTTTAGAGACAGGGTATCATGAAGCCCAGGCTGGCCTCAAACTTACTGTGTTGTTGAGGATGACCTTGAACTCCTGACTCTTTTGCCTTTCCTGGATGCTAGGATTATAGGCATACATCTCTACCCTTGGCTTTTAAAGAAAGTATTATTCCAAACTGGGATGTGTGTCTCATTGTGCAGTCAAAGTTGTTCTTGAACTCTTGTCTTTCTGCCTCAGCATCTTGACTGCTGGGATTAGAGGCTTGTGCCAGAAACTGGCTCCCAGGGAGTATAATTCTAAACAAGGCTGTGAAGTAAAAATTCTGTAAAATTACACGGTTGAGGGCCCTGTTCTAAACCTAAGGGTATAGAGTTGATATTCTAGTGGAAGCTCCACCCCAGCGCCTGGCATCCATATTCCCAAAGAGTCTAGAATGTTCTGGTGAAAGTTCTACCTCAAGACCCCTCCCCTCATCTCTCTCCAAACCCTGCCAAATCTCTGAAAGCCAGACAAATGATGACCCTTCCCTTAGGGGTTCTCAAGACCACTCCTACAGGGTATTTAAACTGTCCCCCCACACCCGAAAACAGACATGTGGCTCTCTTCTCCATCTCCTCTCTGGGGAGCCAGAAAATCATCCGGGGAAAATTGGATACACTAAATGTGGGCTTTTTCTAATGTGATTTCATTTGGTCTGATTTGGATTGCTGTGTCTGCAAAGAGGCTTAACAGGTACAGAAAATTTTCAAGCCTTTTCCCCCAAATCCTGGCATAGCGATTGTAGCCAGTTGTCATAAATTGTGTTCTCTAAAAGCGATGCTGAGTTGAAATTTGAGGTGCAAGGGTGTCATAGAGATCAGTTCCTGTGAAGGAAAGAGTGAGGAACTGGCATTTAGCACTTAAGTCTAGCTCAATCTAGTTCAATCCAACCCTGCAAAACCTGGCCAGCCCACTAGGGACCTGGGAACTTTTGAACTTCCTGTCAAGGTATCTTGTGCTATGTCAGACAGACATGGTAGCTTACACCTATAATAAGGACTCAGGAAGCTGAGGCAGGGCAACTGTCATCAGACTTCTTGGGGCTACATAATGAGTTTTAGGCCAGCCTGGGCTATGGTGCAAGACCCTATTTAAAAAGAAAGATTTTCTTCTGTCAGGCTGGCTGGGTTCTCAACCCTGTCCCACTTGGTCACAGGGCAGATGTAGGCTGTCCCTAGATGGGTGAGACCTTGGGTTAGGTGGCTTCCTGCCTAAGGCAGGTCTTAACCTCAAGACCAAAACCAAGAAGTGTGACTTTTCCTGCAGGGGAATCTGGGGCATCCCTGTATCTGGTGTATCAACCACCCAATTTATGTTGGACATAGAGCTGCCACTTTTACTGGGGACTTAGAATTTTGATCAGGTCAGAGTTAAAGGAGAGGTCCCTTTC